TTATTTTTTCAAAAAACCAACTCCTTGTTTCATTAATTTTCTGAATGATTCTTTTGTTTTCAATTTCATTGATCTCAGATTTAATTTTGGATATTTCTTTTCTTCTGCTGGGTTTAGGCTTAGATTGTTTTTCTTTTTCTAATTCCATAAGATGGTTTGTGAGTTTGTTGATGCGCTCTCTTTCTGTTTTCAATGTAGGCATCTAAAGCAATAAAATTTCCTTTCATGCCTTCTAATGTAGGCATCTAAAGCGATAAATTTTCCTCTCAAAACTGCTTTTGCAGTACCAGTATCCCACTGGTTTGGGGGTAGCTTGTGTCTTCATTGTTGTCCTGCTCAAGGAAGTTAATGATTTCCTCTTTTATTTCTTCCTGCACCCAACTGTCACTCAACAGAAGGTTGTTTAATTTCCATGCCTTTGTGTGGGGTTGAAGTTTTTGTTGGAGTTGAGTTCCACCTTTAGTGCCTTATGGTCTGAGAAAATACAAGGTAAAATTTCAATTCTTTTGAGGTTTGTTTTCTGTCCTAGGATATGATCAATTTTGGGGAACGTTCCATGGGGCAATGAGAATGTATATTCTTTATCTTTGGGATGGAGGGTTCTATATGCGTCTATCAAGCACAGTTGTTCTAGGGTCTCATTTAAGTCCCTTATATCTTTGTTTAATTTCTGTTTAGAGGATCTGTCCAGCTCTGAAAGAGGAGTGTTATTAAAGTCCCCTGTTATTATGGCATTATAGGATATCATATTGCTTAGACAGAGTAAGGTCTGTTTCAAGAACCTGGGAGCATTTAAGTTGGGTGCACAGATATTTAGAATTGAAACGTCTTCTTGTTGTATTTTTCCCTTGACCAATATAAAGTGACAATTTTTGTTTTTTTAACTTTAGTTGCTTTAAATCCACATGCATCTGAAAATAAGATTGCAACTCTTCTTTTCTTCTGAATTCCGTTTGCCTGAAAAATTGTCTTCCAACCCTTAACTCGGAGTTTTAATTCGTCTTTTGAAGCTAGGTGTGTTTCCTGCAGACAGCAAATGGATGGCTTGTGGGTTTTTTTTTTTTTATTAAATCATAGCTGTGTACATTAATACTAACATGGGGTACAATGTGTTATTTCTATATACAATTTGAAATACTTTCATCCAACTGATTAACATAGCCTTCATGTCATTTTCTTAGTTGTTGGCTTGTGTTTTTTAATCCAGTCAGCCAACACATGCCTTTTCAGTGGGGAATTCAAGCCATTAACATTTATTGAGATAATTGATAAGTGTGGTAGTGTTCTATTCATCTTATTTTGTAAGAGTCCATTGCTTAGTTTTATCTTTTGCATCAGTGTGAAGGTTAGGTTCTGTCCTTTAATTTCTGAGAGCTTACTTTGCTGTTGATCCATTGCGATGGTCAATGTATAGAACAAGTTGAAGTATTTCCTGTAGAGCTGGTCTTGTTGAGGTGAATTTCCTCAGTGTTTATATATCAGTAAATGATTTGATTGCTCTGTCAAGTTTAAAGCTTAGCTTAGCAGGATATAGAATTCTGGGCTGGAAATTGTTCTGTTTACGTAGATTAATGGTAGATGACCATTGTTTTCTTGCTTGAAAAGTTTCATTAGAGAAGTCTGCAGTCACCCTAATGGATTTGCCCCTGTAGGTCAACTGGCAGCTTGAAGAATCTTTTCTTTTGTCTTGACTTTAGACAGGTTCATCACAATGTGTCTTGGAGAAGCTCGGTTAGAGTTGAGGCAACCTGGGGTGCAGTATCCCTCTGAAAGGAGTGTGTTGGGATCTTTGATGATATTTGGGAAATTTTCACTTATAATATTCTCTAGTATGGCTTCCACTCCCCTGGAGCATTCTTCTTCCCCTTATGGGATGCCTATAACTCATATTTTTGAACGCTTCATAAAGTCCCATAATTCTGTCAGTGAACGTTCTGCTTTCTCTGTCTTCTTTTCTGCTTCTTTAACTATCTGAGTTATCTCAAAAGCTTTGTCCTCTACCTCCAAGATTCTTTCTTCTGCATGGTCTAATCTGTTGTTGATACTTTCTATTGCATCTTTAAGTTCCCTAATTACTTCTTCAGTTCCTTTCTATATTCTTCATATTGTTCATCTCTTATTTGATTCTGTTTTTGGATTTCCTTTTGGTTATTTTCCACTTTATCAGCAGTTTCCTTCATTGTTTCCATCATTTCCTTCATTGTTTTCATCATCTGTATTCTAAATTCCCTTTCTGTCATTTCTAACATTTCTTTATAGGTAGAATCCTCTGCAGTAGCTACAGAGATAGCCCCTTGGGGGGGTTGTTCTGGACTGGTTTTTCATGTTGCCAGGAGTTTTCTGCTGATTCTTCCTCATAAGTCATTTCTTTTATCTGTTTCCTTGCCCTAATTTTCCTTTCACTTCCTCTTGCTCTTTTTTTTTTTTTTTTTTGAGACAGAGCCTCAAACTATCCCCCTGGGTAGAGTGCCATGGCATTTCAGCTCACAGCAACCTCCAACTCCTGGGCTCAAGCGAGTCTACCGCCTCAGCCTCCCAAGTAGCTGGGACCACAGGTGCCTGCCACAATGCCCGGCTATTTTTTGGTTGCAGCCGTCATTGTTGTTTCATGGGTCTGGGGGCTGGATTCAAACCCGCCACCTTAGGTGTATGTGGCTGGCGCCTTAGCCACTTGAGCCACAGGTGCCAAGCCACTTCCTCTTGCTCTATAAGTTGCCGTGCCTCTGGACTAGGTGAGTCCTTTTGGTACAGGAACAGAAGGATGCCATGCCTCTGGACTAGATGAGTCCTTTTGGTACAGGAACAGAAGGATGAGAAGACTGAAGAGCAATAAGGGAGAAAAGAAAGAAAAAAAAAGAGAGAGGCATGGTTGCAAAGCTAATGAGGTCATGGCCTGGCCTGGCCAAAGACGTTGGATCTTATCATCCCACTCACTTCTTTGTTCCCTGCCCCCAGTTCCCTTCAATAAAACGGTTTGAACCCAATGCTGGTGTGGGTATGAGTCATTGGCAATGCGTTGCCTTTGAGCCCCCACAGTGCTTCCTTGTGGCACCAGGGGTCAGGCTGCAGTGCCAGAGCACAGGTTTGCATATAACTGAGGCTGCTTGCCCTCTCCGTGGGTGGCCCTTTTAACTGCAAGTGACACAGCAGCAGCAAAAAAAAAAAAAAAAGAAGAAGAAAGAGAGAGAAAGGAGAGGGGATGGGTAAAAGGGAATATTGACAAAAAGAAGAGAAGCACAGAAAGAGGGAGACAGGAACAATACAGGTGTACAGTAGGGTACTTTGACCCAACCTTAAAAACCCCCAACCTCTGGGATGCTGCATTGGGTGGTTCCCTTGAGGTCAGTAGCTCTTTGCTAGCCTGTTTGGACGCAGTGCCCCACCGCCACCAAGTAGAGAAGAAAGACAAAAATGCTATAAATCAAACCAAAACAAGCAAACAGAAAACTTTACAGGATAAAACTGGGGGAAAAACTAAATAACAGGGGTAGAAACACTAGCAAAAATGAAGTTGTAATTGTTAAAGAAGGCAACAATGGAAAATTATACTTAAACTAGGAAAATGAAGAAAAGAAAGAAAAAAAGAAAAGAAAAATCTATAGGGAAAATGTTGAAATTAAGAAAAAAACAAAAACAAAACAAAAACAAAAACAAAGCAGTATATATATTGCAGGATATTTTCTGGGCAACAGGTGATCTTCTTCTAGGGTATGAGATGTTAATCACAATGCTGATATGGGTGTATGAGATGGAGACGGGAGGCCTCTGCTGATTTCTCAAACCACTCAGGGTGGAGAGCCTAAATCTCACCTCAGTCCACTTAAAAGGCACTTTAAACTGCTAACCTTGGCTAAGCAGAAACTTTCCCGGGAAAGCACTTGTTGCTGGGATCACTCCTGAAGTGGCTATCCACTTACCCAGTGTGCCAAAAACAGTCTTACTCTATGCCCCTGAGGGCTAAGGCTGTAAGGCATCTCAGTCCCCACCTTTAGGCTGCTCAGTCACTAGATTACTTGCTCCTGCCCTATCCTTGCTCTGCGACCCTGAGGGCAGAGCTTGCTGGGGCAGTTCTCCCACAATGGCTCTGAGCGGCCCACAGCCAAACACTATTAGTTCCATCTGGCTCAGTGGCTCAGTCTGGGGCCCTAGAAAACACCCAAAGTCCTCCGCACACACTTGCCCACGTTCTCCCAAGGTAGTTCAACTGAGTCCCAAAAAAACCAAAACAGCTCACAGGGAAGGCCTTTCTAGTTTGCAATCTCACTGCTGCTGAACTTATAGCTGCCGGCAGGATTAGACAGAATGAACATACGCAACCACTTGCCAGTTCTCCACTGCTTTTGTCCTCCTCACGGGGTCCAGAAGTCTCACACTGACTCCCTATGTCCCCAAAGGGATGTTTCTGGGAAGATCCCACCAGCCAGAGATGCCTGGAGTCTTCTCTCCCCAGACTCACCATGCCCAGTTGCAAGGAAGCTGTTACTTGGCCGCCATCTTGCTCCTCCTCATCAAGGAAATATTCTAAAGACTTCCTTTAATAATTATTATAAAGTGTGGCTAAAAAACATGAAGTACTTTTTTGCCAGGTAATAATCTTTTTTTTAAATTTATTTTTTCTTTTTCTGGAGACAGAGCCTCAAGCTGTCCCTCTGGGTAGAGTGCCACGGCATCACGCTCACAGCAACCTCCAACTCCTGGGCTCAAGCAAGTCTCCTGCCTCAGCCTCCCAAGTAGCTGGGACCACAGGCGCCCGCCACAACACCCGGCTATTTTTTTGGTTGTAGCCGTCATTGTTGTTTGGCGGGCCTGGGCTGGATTCGAACCCGCCACCTTTAGGTGTATGTGGCTGGCGCCTTAGCCACTTGAGCCACAGGTGCCGAGCTGCCAGGTAATAATCTTTATGAGTTTTCTTGAGTTCAGAAGAACAGAAACTCTGGAATTTCTCTTATAAAAATGCTGAGAACAAGATACTTAAAAAGTCTTGCAAACCATGAAAAATATAGCTAAGAGGATGGAGCACAAATGTTAACCTCAGTGATTTATCTGTAGGTACCAAGAGGAGTAGAAAAAGAAAATCTGTATTTTAGGTAAAGCAATTCAAAACTAAATGCAATTAAAACTATTGCATTTTTTTTTTTTACAGATTTTCATCACAAGATCCTCTCTCTCTCTCTCCCTCTTCCCCACCAGAAAGAAGAGCTATTCTATTTTTCTTTTTTTTGAGACAGAGTCTCACTTTGTTGCCCTCAGTAGAGTGCCATGGTGTCAGAGCTCACAGCAACCTCAAACTCTTGGGCTCAAATGATTCTCTTGCCTCAGCCTCCCAAGTAGCTAGGACTACAGGTACCTGCCACAACGCCTGACTATTTTTAGAGACAAGGTCTCACTCTGACTCAGGCTGGTCTTGAACCTGTGAGCTCAGGCAATTCACCTGCCTTGGACTCCCAAGTGCTAAGATTACAGGTGTGAGCCACTGTGCCCGACCTATAGGAGATATTCTAATTCTTCAATACTTCTGTATTGAAAGTCAGCACTAATATCACATGGCTTATGTGCACACCAACTGCCAGCCCTTTTCGTCTTCATGTAACAAAAGATAAAGCCCTACTGCTTAAATGGCAGAGTTGCTATGTTATGGCAGACAGAGGAATTCAATAACTAAAAATTGCTTATGTAATTTATATTGTTAAATGACACCTAAAAAACAATAAAATGTCCCCCTTTCCCTCAAACCCTTGTTTTCTGGATCCAAAGGTACCCCAGCTTTCCAAGTCCATACTGGATCACTTTATAAAGCACATGTACAACATTAGCTTTACTTCTAAGAATCCTTTGGCTCCTTGTCCTCTGTCCATTTAGAACCAATCCCTTTGCCCATCTCCTTTTTATATTCTTTCCTGGTGATCTAATTTACTATCCCAGCTCAAGTACTATCACCATGGTGATGAATGTCTACTTCTCCTGTCCAGACCTATTACTTGAGCTTGAGATACATCCCTGCCTGAAACAGAAGGCATCTAGGGACCTCAAACTTTAAAAAGTCCTTTCAAACTCATATTCAGTGTTCCTTATTTCAGAAAACACCACCACCACCCATCATTTGCCTAAGATAAAACTAAGAATCATCTTTGCCACCTTCCCCCTCTTTTTCATCTCCAATACCAACATGATCACAACTCATGAATCTTTTATCACCTAAGTCCTTATGGAACCTACTCTAATCAAGCTACCAACACTTTTGGAGTGAACCATTTCAGAATTTTGCTACTCCATCTTGTTTCCCTTTAATTTATTCTCCATATTGCTATCAACTTGAGCTGCAAAAACACCAATTCCGTGATGTCAATTTCTGCTTAAAATCATGTGATGACTTCTCAATGCCATTAGGATAAAATCTAAATTGCTTAAGGACACTTACAGAGGCCTAAAGCAGGGATGTCCAACATTTTAACCCTCTGCCACATAATGGAAGAATAAGAATTGTCTTGGGCCACCCACATTAAATACACAAATATTAAGGAAAGCTGACTACAACAAAAAGGGCCCTGTATCCTTTCCTATCCAACACCACAGATAAGCAAAAAAAGTCCTCACAAAATCAGGATGCAGCCCCTTGGGCCATAGGTTGGATACCCTGGCCTAAAGGATCTGACATTTTCTGCTTACACTTCCAGCCTTATGTCTCCTACCTCCTGCCATGCAGAAGTCCTTTTATCTCCAGGACACAGACCTCTCTTTTCTCTCCAAGTCTTCACATTAGCAATTAATCCCTCATTAGGTTCTCCCACTCCCCCTGGCTATTTCTCACCTCTCCTTCAGTCCAAGTACAGCTGGTACTTACTCAAAGATACCCTTCCTGACTGCTGAACTAGCCCACATGCCTTTGCTTTATGAAACCACCGCACACTAAAAGGCTCTATCAGAACTTAAGTCTGACAAACAGTGACGCTTAACTGATACCTTCTGAATGAAGGAAATGCAGAACAAAGAGATTAAAGGTAATCTTTCCCCAGACTTTATTAGTTCTATGCAGAAATTCATGACACCCACAGATTCTGAACTTTGTTTTATGATGTCTCATGGAAAGAGAGAAAGGGGTTTGGCAGTTTGACTACAATGTCTGGCACCAAGTGGGACACACAAGAGGGACTTACTTTAATAAGCGAATTGCATGGCTGAAGCCATCACCTTCCACTTGTACTCCTTGATGGGGAATCTCCAGATTGGACAACTAAAGAGAAAAACAATTATATCAGACCACCAATTTTACAAAGGAAATTACCTTTTCCAAGCACTACACTCTGTTCTCATGGCACTTGTTCTAGGGCCTTTCTTTCTCAAAGTTACAACATAAAAGGCATGAGTGTCATCCATGATTAGATTAAGTCCAGTGAAACTTAAAGCTATCTCAGAGTATCTACTTTAAAAAAATACTTCCACAGGTGGCAAATATTCAAAACTCCTAAGACTGATCTAGTTTTTGCAGTGACTCAAAAGTAAACTAGAGTCAATCAGGCAACTAAAAAATAAGGATATGTCTAAAACCCTTTCCATGTATCCATAAGTTATTAAGGTATGCCAGAAAGTCATCTCATCTACCAGAAATGTTTGCCTCTGGCAGATATTCCCAGATCTTCTATGATGTTTATACCCATCTTGTTCTGGAAAAGATTTAATGAAACTCTAAGTATTTGAGTGAGCCCTGTTCTTTGGGCCTAGGAAAGGCAGAGGTTTAGAAAAATAGTTGTTGACCAAATAGGCACCAAAGATTCAGATTCAAAAGGAAGTGTGCGACTACTCAAAAATGTTGCCACTATGCTATCAATCAGAGATATAAACATCCCTGGTAAGAACAGATTTAGATATTCACATCTTGACATAAATTACTTTAAGGAGAAAATATGCTTTCTTTTGTCTTTTAACATAGCTAGAATTTTTACTGAGAGAAGAAAAAGTACATAAGGTTTGAAGAGGTTGATCTGAGTTCAATAACATACTATCGAATGTTCTTAATGTATCCTATGTGCATAACAGATAAAGGAATATAGAGAAAAGGGATAGAGAGAAAACACGTCTACAGTCCTTAGCCTATATGGGCCTACAAAGACACATTTTTAGAGAAGACAAATGCACTGCACTGCCCTGGCAAGATGTTATCTGTCCACTTTTCCTATTGCAAAGGTAGTAACTAAATGACATTCATATAATCAATCCAAATGATACAATGAAGCAGTCTAAGAATACTGTCAAGTGCATGGGAAACATGGACACATTCTGTATAGTTTGGGAGTTATGGCCAGTACCCAGACAAAAGGGTATTCATCAAGCTCACAGTTCTAGGAGCTGGGACATTAAGGACATGAATAGTTACTTTAGGTACCTGTTTTTGAAGCTGTGTTTCTCTATGTGCTCTTCTTAATTTCATACCTTACCCTCTGCTTGCAGATCCCAGATCCCAAAACTCTCTAAAGCAAGGGTCAGCAAATAATGGCTCATAGGCCAAATCTAGCCCATTGTTCGTTTTTGTAAATAAAACTTACTATAACATAACTATGCTCATTTGTTTAAATATCAACTGGTTGACACTACAATAGCAGATTTGAGTAATTATAACAGAAACCAGATGACCCACAAAATCTAAAGCATATACTATCTGGCCCTTTATAGAAAAAGTTTGCCAACCCCTGTTCTAAAGCATGAAGGCTATTTTCAACAAGTTTTCCCAAGGCCACATCATCATTAGCCCAACAGAAAAAGTCCATTTCCACATTTCCAGGTCTATTCTACATTTATATTAACTTACAGAGGAGGGGATTCTTACAAAAAGCAAAATGTTAAACTAGAGGGAAATAATTAGAGTTATACTATATCACTTTTTTTTTTTTTTGAGACAGAGTCTTACTATGTTGCCCTTGGTAGAGTGCCATCGTGTCATAGCTCACAGAAATCTCACACTCTTGGGCTCAAGCGATTTTCTTGCCTCAGCCTCTGGAGTAGCTGGACTACAGGTGCCCACTATAATGCCTGGCTATTTTCTAGAGACAGGGTCTCGCTCTTGCTTGGGCTGGTCTCGAACCCGTAAGCTCAGGCAACTCACCCTCCCGGGCCACCCAGAATGCTAGGATTACAGGCATCAGCCACTGCACCTGGCCTACCGTATCACTTTTTAAAGGACTGTCAATCCTTGGCGCCAACCCCCTTTTTGCAAATATAAAAAAATACATGTTCTATTACCTCTCTTTCATGTTTGGGGATCACAATGGATATTACAACTGTATATTCTTTTTTTTTTTCCCCAGCCCCATTCTTACTTTTATTTTTTTTTTTAAATCATAGCAGTATACATTAATACTATCATGGGGTACAGTATACTGTTTCTATATACAATTTGAAATACTTTCATCCAACTGGTTAACATAGCCTTCATGTCATTTTCTTAGTTATTGTGTTAAAACACAACTGTATATTCTTAAAAGACACTAATTCTGCATACACCATGTGACAAAAGCAAAAGTTTAGTTTAATATTCTTTCTGATCTGCGTCTCAGAAAGGTGCCCAATTATATTAGTGATAAGCAATATGTATAGTTTCACCAATTCAAAAATAAGCCACATCTTTATCAACTAACCGTCACTGATGGACTTAAACAATGCTCCTACTAAAAAGTATAAAAGAAAGATGTTAATTCTTAAAAGCTGTCCATTTTTTTAAACTGGGAAGACTTTACTTTCTATTTCCACAAGAGCAAAAGGCCCAAAATCTGCAATCAGAGAGATGAAATAGTTTAAGTCATGTTTTACATGCATACCATGAGATGCTATTATTGCAACCCTACCCATTGCAAAACAAATAGGATCACAACCATTCTGGTTCTCCCAGTGGAATCCATGTAATTTTATCAACATATTTAAAAAATTACTCTTTCATTTAGGGTATCCAGAATTGTTCCAAAAATTTACCTCCAATCGAAGTCCTACAAATGGCATATTTGTGTCACACATGGCAACAAAGTGAGCTAGAACTTTATTGAAGGCACACATTTCTCCCGATCGTTTGGTTTTCTTGGATTCTACTGGACATGGATCATCAGACAACTAGAATTTAAGAATATAAGTAGGTTAAAAAGTACATGTGAAACAACTCATTAAGGCAGTTAAACTACTGAGATTAAGCTCAGAGTTTACTAAAACAAATGTTACATTCCACAAATGTTTATTGAGCAAATATTGACCAAAACACATAATTGAGTAGTAAATACTGTATGTTTAACAAGTTCTCTTGTAGAAGATGATGCATAATTATTAAAAGAGAAGTATTTTCAAGAAAATTTGGACAATTTTTACTTAAGTCTTACTGTTGCCTAGGCTCTTAAAAACTATTATCTAATTTCTTCCTATGTTAAAAATAAGTGAATATACACAAAGTTAATACACACAAATTCTGTGCTCATTTTCATATGGGATCATACCTTGTGCTTGGTACCGGTTCTGGTCTGTTTCCCAGATTTTGCATGAAAAATCAAGTCTTGGACGTCTTCCTTGAACTGCTGCAGCAGCAGTGCCATGATAGGGCTGTCTTCTCGATCTGTTGCGTTCACAGATAGGAAGTAGTACTTGTATGACAGCTGTGTGGGTTTATTAGGAACCTCCAACATCTCCACAACCTAAAATGGCCCAAATCAGACTCAGAGAAATAAAAGTGTCAGACATTTTCTTCCTTATATCAAGAGTCATAATTATAACCTCATATAAGTTTTTTTTAAAATAAGGACAAAATCATGATGTCAAAGAAAGCAATCCCAGTAAATATATAATTTGTTTTCGAAAAAATAGATGAGACCAAAGAATGATGATGAAGTGAAAGCAAATGAAGTAAATGACACTATTAGCTTTAGGTGTTTTTGGATGGTCACTTCTGCCTAAGTCTAATAATGGGTCTGCCAGATTTTCTAGAATGGTTCTATTTTAAACGGCCCTCTCTCCCTTAACAATTCAAATCTCTCAAAAATTTCATTAGTGAGACAGAGAAAAAATGACAACTATCTTTCATACCTGGAAATATGTAAAAATATATCTTCATTTTTCAAATGCAAAATATGGTCATTGTAAGGACTACAACCTCAATGACAGTTAACACTGATGCAAAGCTTACTATGTGCTGGGTATTGTCCTAAGAACTTTACACATGTTAACACATTTAATCCTCCCAATAGTCTTTAAAGTAGGTATCATTATCTTTGTTTTTCTGCTCAGGAAACTTAGCAGCAAAAAAGTGGGTTACATTCCAGCAGTCATACAGCTAATAAGTGATAAACTCATGCTTTGATCCCAGAAGTCTGCCTCCAGAAACCTTAATAAATTTAAGAAAAGTCCCCTAAATACTTCAGTGATGGAAATAAATTCCATTAGAAAAGCTCCTGATCGGATTGCATGTGAAAACCCCACACTGTACCCCAGAAGTGCATTAATGTACATAGTTACCATTCAATAAAAAAAAAAAAAAAGAAAGAAAAGCTCCTGACCAACACCTCTTTCTTGTCTCTCTTCCTGCCTCCCTTTTCCCTAGTTTCCCCTCTTCCCCCAAGAAAGCATCACACTGATGATGCACCTCAAGAAATAAAAATATAAAAAGTAAAATGGACACTTCACTAAAAATGATATATGAATGGCAGGTATATACATGAAAAGTGCTCAACATCCTCAGTCATTAGGACAGTATAAATTAAGATATAATAAGATACCACTACATACCTATCAGAACAGCTAAAATTTAAAAAAATTGTAATACCAATTGCTGGCAAGAATGGGAAGCAACTAGAATTCCCACACATTGCTGTTGGGAATGCAAAATGTTATATAAATTATCTTTCTATAAAGCTAACCAAAAAAAGTAAAATGGCAGAAAAAGTGGAAAGGGAAAAGAACTGCAGCAAGCCTTCCTCTGTTTCTCTTAAGGTCCATAGTAGTAGTTCTTTCCACTTCTATGAATATACACATATCATGTCTAAATGATAAATGTGGAAGAGAGAGAGCAATCTACCATTCAGTTTTGGTCTAAACCACATGAAACGAATTAGTGCTTTTTAATAAGTCACTACTCATTGACACTAAAGCTTGGTTGTTTGATACTAAATAAGGCCAGAAAATAATAAATTATAACAATTTATTTCATTGTTGGCTGAGTATAAGAGATCTTTGTACGCTCACACTTTTGGTTATGATCCATGTATTCTGAATTATCATTTCATATGTAGACCAAGCAAGCTCACTGAGAACTGAAAAGACCGACTTTTGCGGTGTGCCAAAACTAGTTCCACAGCTGGTATTTTAAAATTCACTCCATTATCTTTAACTGAGAATCCTGAATTTAAAAATTTTAAACATCTTAGATTCTTAGCCAAAAGTATCTACTTAGTTTACATAGAAGTTTCTACAAGCAAGAAAATATATTCATATATCTTAAATTTTTGCAAATTTTATCAATTCAAAGAGATCAAAGACACTAACTAGAAAACACCTAGAAAGAGTGAAAAGGGAATAAGAAAGGACCTTACTGTACAATGAAAGCACATGCAATCAATAAAATGGAATATGCCTTTAATAAATTAAGAATGAAAAAATAAATCTACTTCTGCCAGTCCACATTTAAAAAGCTACATTAGGCAAGTTAATGTTCAATTAAAACCAAATAAGTTTAGCTGACACCCAAATGTCTCCAAACCTCCACAGCAGTTGCCCTCAAAATTTTTCTCCTTACAGAGGAGATGCCTTATTCCAATCAGAAACTAGGTCTTTCCATAGGAGAGACCCTAGAGCAGTGGTTCTCAACCTGTGGGTCGCGACCCCCTTGTAACAATGAAAATACATCACGGTATTAGGAAGGTTGAGAACCACTGCCCTAGAGTAAGGGATGGGAGTAAACCTCATTTTCTCCAGATGAGATACAACTTTCCCCTCTCCCCCATTCCTACCCCCTGGGTTGAGAATCACTATATAAAAGTCAAATATTTAATAAAATTCATTTACCAACTAAACAATAAATGATTCAAGATATTAATAGAATTACTGAATTCAATCACCTCAAACCACCCCTTTGCATACTTACAATGTAATATTGAGGAAGGCGGGTAAGTTTAATAAACAGCTTATTCTTAGAAAGGTTTCCAATAGGATGTGTTGAGTAATTAGAAAGCTGCAATGTTTCACTGCTTATTGTGGGCAGATGTTTTATAGATTGTTTGCAACGTTGCTGTCCAAGCCAAAACCTAAATTTAAAAGAAATAATCCGCATAAAATTATACACTTTTCTGATTAACTATGTGTTACTAATTTATAAAAATCACTAAAAAGCCGGTTAAACCTACTTAAGGCTAGGAGTTTGAGACCAGCCTGAGCAATATAGTAAGACCCTATCTCTACAACAGGCGTCCTCAAACTATGGCCCACAGGCCACATGCAGCCCACCTAGGACATTTATCCAGCCCAACCGATGTTTTTGCCCCGGTGCCTGTCCTGCTTAGCAGCCAACTCGTTCTGGGGCCTGCAGTCTGGCCCTCCAACGGTCTGAGGGACAGTGAACTGGCCCCCCTGTTTAAAAAGTTTGAGGATCCCTGCTCTACAAAAAGAAAAAAATAATTAGCCAGGCACAGTAGCATGTGCCTATAGTCGCAGCCACTTGAGAGAATGAGGCAGGAGGCTTGCTTAAACACCTAGGACTTCAAGGCTGCAGTGAACCAGGATGGTGCCACTACGTTCTAGCCTAGGGGACATACCAAGACCCTGGCTCCAAAAAATAAAAATTTCACTCTTCACTTTTTATTTTATATGATGCTATGGAACAAAATAGTTCCATCTAAAATAAATGATTTTTCATATGAAGTGCCTATACATGTATACTTTCAATATTATGTTTATTTTGATTATATTAAAGTATAATTTTTATGTCTTAGCATTAGAGTTTATATTTTGTACATGTTCTCTCATTTTTTTCTAGAATTAATTTTAATTGAATGTTATTTTAAAAAGCAATCACATGAACAGATGCTCAATATCATTAGACATCAGAGAAGTGTAAGTTAAAGTACAAATTAAAATCACAATGAAATACCTCTTCACACTCATTAGGATATCTGTATCAAAAGACAGTAGCAAGGCTCAGCGTCTGTGGCTCAAGTGCCTAAGGCGCCAACCATATACACCTAAGGTGGCAGGTTCGAATCTAGCCTCGGTCCACCAAGCAACAGTGATGGCTGCAACCAAAAAAAATAGCCAGGCATTGTGGCAGACACCTGTGGTCCCAGCTACTTGGGATGCAGAGGCAGGAGACTCGCTTGAGCCCAGGAGTTGGAGGTTGCTGTGAGCTGTGATGCCACAGCACTCTACCCAAGGGGACAGCTTGAGGCTCTGTCTCAAAAAAAAAAAGACAGTAGCAAATCTAAATGTTCATCAACTGATGAATAGATAAACAAAATGTGGTATATCCACATGGTGGAATATTATTCAGGCATTAAAAGAAATGAAGTCTGATACTTGCTATAATATGGATGAACCCTGAAAACATTAAGTGAAACAAGTCAAAAAAGACCACATATTTTATTATTCCACTTAGAAGAAATGTCCAGAAAAGGCAAACCTACAGAAAGTAGATTTGTAGTTGTCTGGGGCTGAGAATGGCTCTTAACCATAAATGGACATCTCTTTAGGGTGGGAATATCTAAATCTGGATTGTGGTGACAGCTACAAAAAGAATTACTACAAATCACTGAACTGTACACTTAAAATGGGTGGATTTTACAGCATGCAAATTATAAAAAAGTTGTTAAGAAAAAATTTAAAAAATTAATCATGACAGATTAGTGATAAACTTGGTCATTTACCATATAACATTTTAGAAGTGATATTTGTAAGTGAAAATTACAGGACTTTTCATATAAATACATTGTGTGAGTTTAAGTACAAACAAACATTTTGATAAGTCAAAGGCTTTGGAGACAAAGCTTTCTGGTTTTAGTTTCTATTTCTGACAGCTAGAACTGCCAGATAACCTCAAATTAGGCAAGATGCAAATGATTAAGCATGTCAGGTATTCAAACCATCCTTGTTTAACAAAAATGATGCTAAAACACTAAAAATTTCAGAAATTGTTATCCAGATTAACGACTATGATTTTTACTCAGATAAACAGCTGCTTCAAAAAAAGGTTCATATATTATCTATCTATAGGTATTAAAAATCATTCCTGTTCATGAAAACTTTACTTGATTAAACTGACTTCTTTAAATATGTATAAAACCAAAACTGGCAAAAGGAGAACGAGGAAAAGGATTACAAAAACAACAGATGCCAATAAATAGTGTTTTAAAAATTTTTTTGTCTTCTAGCTTTCCCCCACCCCCTTCACCACTTGTCAGTTTTGGTTTTAATCTCTGAAATTTATTTTTAGTCTTTGGAATTTTATTTTATTAACTTTAAAAAATTTTCTTAAAGTTGCCATAGGGTACTTTTGTGTACAAAGGTAGTAATGAAACCCCACAGAATTATCTCTAGCTCTGTTTTCAATTTTACTTAACAGTGTGAAGCAGTCAAAGGATTTTGAGACAAAATGAATGAGAAGAGAAGCAGAAATAACTATTCTGAAAATGTTAACTGGAAAAAGAAATAAGACTCTATTATGCTTGGTACAATAAAATTCATTGCGTAAGCAATTTGAAAAGAGCTTGTACAGAAGAAACTGTGGCAAGGTTAATAAAAGTTGTGTCATGCCCTTCACACCTATATTTGCTTGAGAGGGCAATTTGATATGAGGCACTGCCATCCTGGACCTATTCCAAGAGAATTTAGATTCTAACGTACCAAAAGGTACTCAAGTTTCATGTCATAACCCTAAAGGGCAGTGACTGATCAAGAGTAATGATAGAAAGGAAACATATCCTGTCAAAATAAGTTTCCAGTTTTAGTCTTGAGCTAAATAAATAAGCTTACTTAAGTTGCTGAATCCAGGGAATGATCCGTTTCATATCATCATTCACAGACTTCTCCATGTCATCCAGAGTGGCTTGGTCTACAGAATAAAGCACTTAATTAAGAAACTGCTTACATGAGAAACATAACTTTATCTAGATAGCCTAAAACTTAAAAATGAAAATTATTGTTTTAGGCAGAAAATGTTATTTTTGAGTCAGAGAAAAGCTTAATTAAATGCATCATTAGATATAAACCAAACTAATTTTATTTCCCTCTGTAACATTTAGAGAGAATTATAGATAAGACAACTAATTAATAACAAACGTAAACTGGCAGAAGGAACAAGTAACAAATGCATGAATTCCTTGCCTATATTTATTTCTACAAACTTTTAGTCTACTTAATTAGTATTTTTAAATTTTAAGTATGTAAAACTCATAGTATCACTAGACTTGAACCTTAAAAATTATAAGAACTAAAAAATTCCATTTAAATGTTTATTTATTAAACACAAATGGTCTGTGGTATGTGCAACAGCTGCTGGCTGGAGATTGGCTTGCTAATTATGTCTCTTTCAGAATTTTTAATGATGCTAGAAAATACTAGTAAATAGAATATTAAGCAAAAAAGTGAGAAACAGGGCAGCGCCTGTGCCTCAAAATAGGGCACCAGCTCCGTATGCCAGAGGTAGCAGGTTCAAACCCAGCCCCGGCCAAAAACTGCAAAAAAAAAAAAAAAAAAGTGAGATACAAAATAATTTCAACTAATGAAGTAAAGTATAGAAGAAAATAAAAAGAATTGCATTGTTATGGAGTGAATCATGTCTCCCCCACAAAATCTGTATGTTGAAGTCCTAATCTCCAATATGATGGTAATTTGGTGAAGGGGCCTTTGGGAGGTTTTAGGTTTACGTGAGGTCATGAGGGTGGGGCCTTTAGGATTAGTAGCATTAGTCGCATTATAAGAAGAGACACCGGAGAGCTTGCTCTCCCAGCCATGAGAAGAGGGAATTAGGTGATGATCTACAAGCCAGAAGGCGAGCCCTCACCAGAAACCAACCATGCTGGTACTTTGATCTTGAATTTCTAATCCCCAGAACTATGAGAAAATAAACTTCTGTTATTTAAGCCACTTGTCTACTTTATTTGGTTATGGCAGCCTGAACTGCTAAGATAAGTATACATACATAAAAGACTATTTTCTGATGCTTTTCTCATTTTATGTATTTAGATCTTTTTTTTGAGTAAGTACTATTTTAATAATCTGAAAAACAGTTAAGGCTTGGCACCTGTAGCTCAGTGGTTAGGGCACCAGCCACATACATAGGGGGCTGATGGGTTGAAACCCAGCCCAGGCCTGCTAAACAACGACAACTACTACAACAATAAAAAAAGCCAAGTGTTGTGGCAGCTGCCTGTAGTTCCAGCTACATGGGAGGATGAAGAGAATCGCTTAAGCCCAAGAGTATGAGGTTGCTGTGAGCTGTGACACCAAGCACTCTACCAAAGGCGACATAGTGAAACTCTGTCTCAATAATAAAACAAAAACAAACACACAAAAAAAGGCTCGGTGCCCATAGCACAGAGATTACGGTATCAGCCACATACACCAAGGCTGGCAGGTTCAAACCCAGTCCGGGCCAGCTAAACAATGACAACTGCAACAAAAAATAGCTGGGCGTTATGGCAGGCATCTTTAGTCCCAACTACTTGGGAGGCTGAGGCAAGAGAATCGCTTAAGCCCAAGAGTTTGAAGTCGCTGTGAACTGTGACGCTACAGCACTCTACTGAGGGTGACACAGTAAGACTCTGTCTCTAAAAATTAAAAAAAAAAAATTTCATGAATGTGATGTCATTCAAAGTCTAGTTTTCTATGAGTAGCCCATAGAAAAAAACAGCCATACACTATAACCAGGAAACCCTTTATTTTCAATCTATCTAGATTAATATTAATTTCAAATGGCAAATGTGCTAATATTCAAGAACAGTGCTCCAGTAGCAGTATAAAAGAACTAAGTTCCTAGTATTTCATCCTTTCAAAACACCAACTTAGTAACAGAACATGTTAGAAATCAGACTTTGATTTCTATTGTGCTTAAGCCAGAAAAAAAAACCTCTCCTCTAGGATTCTGTACCCCAAGTTGTCTTAGATGTTTCTACTGTCATAAATATATTCTTAAACCACAAATGACATTAGAATCCCTTGTTGTCATTTCCATGTCATCCACATATTAGTGGTAAAATAGACACTGAACTACTGGATAGATAACCAAAAATACAAGAACCACCAACATTATTGCTTATACCTAAGAGAAACAACATGAGTGCATTTTATGTTAGGACGTTTAACTTGTGATATAACAAAATCAAAGTAGAGTTAAAACAGGGCCCAAATGAACTGATATCAGCCAGAGTTGTTATTTCCATACCTATTTTTAACACTATGTATACCAGTCCCTCCAATACCTAATAACAAAATATTTTTATTTAAAAAAGTATGTATTTTAAAATATTTGGCTTTTGTTAAAAATATTTTTCTTACATCAAGTGATCATTTAGTAACTTACCAAGTCCATAAAGCATCAATTGGAACATTCCAGAATGTAAATCTACAAAAATGTGCAGACACTCTGAATTACCACAGGGCTCCAAGATGGGAACAACAAGGGCCGGAAGTGCAGTCTCTATGGAAGCTAAATGGTTAAGAATTAAAAATTACTTTTCCATCTGAATATATTCTAGAAAAATTATTTCTCAGTAAGTATAAACCAATATTGAAGGATCCTGAATGTTAGAGGAAAAACATGATCTTGCAAAATTTGGAATACTATTATTATGTCAATTAGTAGCTCAAAAGGAAGAATGTAATTTTCAACTTAACCTGAAACATACCTGTCTCAAATACTAGAGCAAAAAAAAGAAAAAAAAAAATTCAAGATTCCTTAAAATGGATTAAAATAGCTAGTGAAAAATCTAACCCCAGTGAGCTGAGTTCCAGTTTTACTTTCATTTGGTAGTTATCAATAAGTCACTTTTTGATATAGTGGGGAGAAAATTGGTAAATAGGATAAATTTCATCTCTGGCCTAGTGATTTTTATTTTATTTATTTAATTAATTTTTTTTTGAGGCAGAGTCTCACTTTGTCACCCTCAGTAGAGTGCTGTAGTGTCATAGCTCACAGCAACTACCAACTCTTGTGCTCAAGTGATTCTCTTGCCTCAGCCTCCCAAGTAGCTGAGACTACAGGCGCCTGCCACAATGCCCAGCTATTTTTAGAGACGAGGTCTTGCTCTGCTCTGGCTGAGGCTGGTCTCAAACTTATAAGCTCAGGCGATCCACCCACCTCGACCTCCCAGAATGCTAGGATTACAGGTGTGAGCCACTACGCCCAGCCACTCACTTTCCTTGAATGAGTATATATTCTAAATACAAATTTATTTTTCTGTTTTTAATTCAGTCAGTATTTTTATCTACTTTGTCCAAGTGGTTTTAATACAAGCTTACTACATACCTAGGAAGCTGCTTTTGTAAGTATAATAATGGAATGAGTTAGGCTCTGTGATGATGAAAGGCGGTACCTTTGTCACTAGCACTATTTGGACTCCCTACTTATAAGGTACTTTACTCACATCATCTTACTTAGTTAAAGACTATGTTGGGTACAAGATAATCATGGCCCAAACAACTGGGGTCAGGGATAGGTAATATACTCATTATGATGTTGTGAAACAATATTTCTAGAATGAAGGGGCTTATTTTCTAAGACTGACTGCTCCTCAAAGCTCTGACTATACTTACTGGTAGCTAAATTTTGAGTATTTATGTGGGTATCTGCATTTTTTTGAACCCTATACTATGTATTAAGAATTCAAAAATATGTATTTTTTTTGAGACAGAGTCTCACTATGTTGCTCTTGGTAGAGTGTCGTGGCATCACAGCTTTCAGCAACATTAAACTCTTGGCCTTAAGTGATTCTCTTGCTTCAGCCTCCCAAGTAGGTAGGCCTATAGGTACCTGCCACAGCACCCAGCTATTTTTTTGTTGTAGTTGTCATTGGTGTTTAGCAGGCCTGGGCTGAGTTTAAACCTGCCAGCCTGGGTGTATGTGGCCGGAGCCCTGCCCACTGAGCTACGGGCGCCAACTCAAAAATATTTCTTTTAAAGAGTTAAATTCTGCTTTACTCAAAGAGGCATATTTTATAAATACATTATAAATATCTGCAATTCTGCTTTATCACTTGAAGAAAAATGAAAAGATTCATATAAAGCGTTAAAATAGCTTCGTTGCACAGAAAAAATTTAAGGAGACACAACGTGCAAACATTTCAAAAATGTTGAATGTTTGTTTCTCAAGCTGAATAAGAAGCAAATAAGGAAAAAAAAATAGGACAAGTATGGTGGATCACAAGTTAAAATGCAGAAATACACAATTCCACAATAAAAGCAGTATATAAGGAAAAAGATCATATTGAGAAAGACTCTGCATAAAATAAAACTACATACTAAACAAAAGAACCTACAGTTTTCATTGGCATTGAAGCCTCTAAGAATGGCCTTCAGTTCCTGGAGCTTCTGATGAGCTCTTGCATGGACACTATCAATCAGGAGTTTTTCTATTGATAAGTGGTCAATCTGTATAAATAAAAACAGAATCATATGTACAATGTAAACATTTTTTTAAATCCTGAGAGTAAATTATTGTGCTTCAAGATATTTCCTTTTAGAATCACACTGATTAAGTGTTAACCAGTAAAAGAAAGCAAACTCAGGTAAAGTTAAAAATTAACCTATATGGTATTGAGTTAACAATTAACTTATATGGTATTGACAGCTTAAAAACTATAGCTAATATTTTGATGAGTGTAGATGGAAGATGCTACACAAGGTTAGATAATTAAGTTCATGAACCTATCCTAGAAAAGGAGCTATATATCTCATTGCTGAATATCACTAGGTTATCTTTGAAGTATTCCCATTGGAAAGCCATGCACTGATGCCAGTGCCTAACCCACCCTGCACAGCAGTTTTGGAACTTTTTCTGGAAAGACTATCAGAGCTGCCATCATTGTACAGCATACAGTAACAAGTGCCACTCAAGGAGACACGGCCACACAAACACAACAGCTGTGAGACACTGATAGACCAAGGTTATAAAACGAGGGTCACCAGAAGGCCAAGGGAAGTACTTTGAAGGTGGTGGTAGTAATATTCAGCAATGAGGTAGCACTTTTTCTAGGATTGAGTTCCTGAACTTCATTGTCAGAACTTGATTACATCAGTCATCATTAATGCTAAAATGCCAGAACTTAGAAATAAATGGTGATCTAAATTATAAAATTTTAAATATATTAAAAATTACACATTATCATGTCGGATATTTTTAAAAACCCAACAAACACATATATTCACTTAAAACAAGTTTTATAAAGTGTTTTAGGAATAATTAGGTATTTTAAAGAATTTGTGCTAAAATTTTAAGTATATATGGTAAATTATATTTATTTAATCAAACCAACATTAAAATATATTGAGATGTTTTACCTTCATGGCTCTTTCTACTAATTTGGAATCAGAAGCTGGCAAAGGAGGATCATGAAAAATCTGTAAAGGCTTAGAGACATCATTCTCATCAATTTTAATTGTAACTTTATGAACAGATGCTGTCCCTGTTTTTCTCCCAAGAACCTGTTGACTGAAGAGAAAAAATATTAAGAATTTTTTCCAATACAGCCTATTAATGTTCAGAATAAAATAAAAACAATATATTGTGCACTTAAGCCAGAGCCTGGAAAATGGCAGGCACTGAGTGTTGTGTGTGGGGGAAATAATAGGAAAATAGCTGTTCTATGATTCAACACGATACTTGATTTATTGCATTAAAAAAAAAAAACACAGAACACACACAAGTACGCGCGCATGGGAACCCCAGAACAAAACAACCTGTCTTCTAAGTGGCATCTATTCACTTCTAATTCCTTTATAGAAAATGGGAATCAAGCAAAATTCAAAAGAGGAAACAGGATTATAAAAAGCATGATACTGATTTTCTCCCCCCAAAAAGTTTATAAAAGGTACAATTCAAAATGGAAAACTGTAATAAGCATGCATGTTATACCTAACAATCTAACCTAATGGTCTTTTAAGAATTTGGTGTAAGCCCATAGTAAGCTAATCACTCAAACATCTTAAGAATAACAGTACAAATAGATAAATGTCTCTATATTTAAAACATGCCATGTTCTAAGAAAGGAATTACAGATGTCCTATGTGGTCTGCGGCATACCATGGGACCTTACTATACAAAAGCATGTTACTAGAGGTGCATGGTATTGGTATATAATCATCCTGTAATATACAAAATGGGAGAGGGCTGATTCTAGAGCAGCGGATTTTTTTTTTTTTGAGACAGAGCCTCAAGCTGTCCCCCTGGGTAGAGTGCTGTGGCATCACAGCTCACAGCAACCTCTAACACCTGGGCTCAAGCAAGTCTCCTGCCTCCACCTCCCAAGTTGCTGGGACCACAGGCGCCTGCCACAACGCCTGGCTATTTTTTTTTGGTTGCAGCCGTCATTGTCATTTGGCGGGCCTGGGCTGGATTCGAACCCACCACCTTAGGTGTATGTGGCTGGCGCCCTAGCCACTTGAGCCACAGGTGCCAAGCCAGAGCAATGGTTTTCAACCTGTGGGTCACGACCCCTTTGGGAGTCAAACAACTCTTTCACAGGGGTTACCTAAGACCATCAAAAATATGTGTTTTTCGACCAAGACATTGCTCCTCTATAGTCTCCAGGAGGGTTCACCCACATGAAGATATGCCTACATTTCAGCACCCAGCATGATGACATCATCCCGCCAACCTCATCACACTCCATACAAATACAGGTGTATGTGACAGGGTTGGAGCCATAATGTAGTTATGTGGACCAGTCACATGTGTAGAAAGCAGCTGCCGTGTTGAAAGCAGCAGTATTGGAGGTAAAATGACACTTCATGAATTATAATTACCGGTAAATGTAAAATCATGTATTGTAAAATCATCAAGTACTGCAAAAAAAAAAAATATCTGTACCATGGGAACTTAATTTGGATGCTGATCGGTCTTTTTATACTCAGCTATGGTTGCTATGAATACTGCCCCCTTGTGATAGTAGCAGGTATGTAAAAAAAAAACACAGAGAATGGTAAATCATAGGAAACTTTAATGAACTGTACTGACTGAACTATGCCAGGTATCATCTTTCTTATTATTAAAGCTATTGTTATATATTATTTTCATTAGCAAACCATCCCATGACAATGGATCGTGTAGAGAAGAATGTTAAGAAAAGAAAATATAGTGAGGATTTTTTACAGTATGGTTTTCCCTCAATAATTACAGCGGGAATCGAGAAACCGCAATGTGTTATTTGTTGTGAAGTTCTATCAGCCGAATCTGTGAAGCCGAACAAACTAAAACGCCATTTTGATAGCAAGCATCCAAGCTTTGCTGGCAAGGATACCAACTATTTTAGAAGCAAAGCTGATGGACTCAAAAAAGCCAGACTTCAAATACCACAAACAAAATGTAGCAGCCGTTGAACCTTCACATTTGGTGGCACTGAGAATCGCCAGAGCTATGAAACCTCACACCATTCATTGCTGAGGATTACTGTTGCCAGCGGCCAAAGACATTTTTTGAGTTATGATCGGAGACGAATTTGTTACGAAATTGAGTGCAATTTCCTTATCTAACGATACTGTCTGCAGAAGAACAGATAACATGTCTGCTGATATTCTTGATTGGGTAATCCAGGAAATTAAATCTGCTCCACTTCCAATATTTAGTATCCAGCTTGATGAATCTACAGACGTTGCAAACTGTTCAGTTACTGGTTTACGTGAGCTATATTAATGATGGCGACTTTAAAGATGAGTTTCCTTTTTGCAAACCTCTTGAAACAACAACTACCACATGTGATGTATTTGACACAGTTGGTTCATTTCTGAAAGAGCGTAAGATCTCTTGGGGAAAGGTTTGTAGTGTTTGCACAGATGATGCTCCAGCTATGCTAGGATGTCGATCTGGATTTCAATATTTGGTAACATTCCAAGTCACCAAAAGTCATTGGAACTTACTGTATGATTCATCAGTAAATATTAGCAATGAAGACGCTGCCACAGAGTTACAAGAAGTAAGGAAAAGCATCACAAGTTCTGTCAATTTTGTAAAGGCGAGCACTTTAAAACAGTCGACTGTTTTTACAACTGCAACAAGTTGGATGTACCAAACAATGCTCTGCTATTTCACACTGAAGTGAGATGGTTGTCGAGAGGAAAAGTTTTAAACTTTTTTTTTTTTTTTTAGATAGAGCCTCAAGCTGTCACCCTGGGTAGAGTGCTACGGCATCACAGCTCAAAGAAACCTCCAACTCCTGGGCTCAAGTGATTCTCCTGCCTCCGCTTCCCAAGTTGCTGGGACCACAGGCGCCAGCCACAACACCTGGCTATTTTTGGTTGCAGCCGTCATTGTTGTTTGGAGGGCCCAGGCTGGATTCGAACCCGCCAGCTCAGGTGTATGTGGCTGGTGCCTTAGCTGCTTGAGCCACAGGCGCCAAGCCTTAAACTGTGTTTTTGAGCTTCGTGATGAACTCATAATGTTTTTTAATCAGAAAGCAAGACTGCAGTTCAAAGTACTTTTCAGTGATAAAAGCAAACTGCAGAAAATAGCTTACTTGGTTGACATCTTTGCCATCTTGAATGAGTTAAGTTTATCACTACAAGAACCAAATGCAACATGCCTCAATTTGTCTGAAAAGATCCGATCATTCCAAATGAAACTTCAGCTTTGGCAAAAAAAACTGGATGAAAATAAAATTTACATGTTGCCTACCTTATCTGTTTTCTTTAAAAACATGACATTGAATCAGACAAAAGGATTACAATAATTTCTGTGAAAGAACACTTGTACATGCTTGCAGACGAAACTTCATTATACTTTGCAAATCTACCTGACACCCAATTTGCACTTGCCAAAAGCCCATTCACAATCAAAGTTGAAGATGTTCCTGAGACAGCACAAGAGGAGTTCATTGAACTTATTAACAGCGATGCAGCGAGAACTGATTTCTCTACAATGCCAGTTACAAAATTCTGGATCAAGTGTTTGTAGTCAAATTCTGTTCTGTCTGAGACTGTTGCGCCTTCTTCCATTTCCAACAACATATCTTTGTGAAACAGGGTTTTCCAGCTTGTTGGTTATCAAGTCTAAATACAGAAGTAGACTTGTTGTGGAATGTGATTTTTGCTGTGCTCTTGCAAAGACTGCCCCGAGAATTTCTGATCTGGTGAGAAAGAAGCAATCCCAACCTTCGCACTGACGTTGCATTTTTACGCTTACTGTCACAAAATGTAGCAATGTAGTTTACTGTCGTTATATTAAGACTGTTACGTATGCTACATCATGCTTCAAAATTTCATTTATTTGTAATTAGAAATATTTCACAATATATAATTACATGTTGTTTTTGTGATTAATCACTGCTTTAATTATGTTCAATTTGTAACAATGAAAATACAGCCTGCATATCAGATATTTACATTACGATTTATAACAGTAGCAAAATTACAGTTATGAAGTAGCAATGAAAATAATTTTATGGTTGAGGGGGGTCACCAAAACATGAGGAACTGTATTAAAGGTTCATGGCATTAGGAAGATTGAGAATCACTGTTCTAGAGCATCCCCCCAGGCATACCAAAATCTGCATATACTCCTTATTCAAGTTATACACATAGCCCTGAGGAACCTACAATAAGAAAAGTCAGCCCTTCCAATTAATTAATCTGTGTTTGGTTAAAAAAATCCATGTATAAACAGACCCGCACAGTTCAAGCCTGTGTTGTTCAACAGTCAACTGTATAATAATTAGAAGTATTAGAGAAAAAGAGAAACAAAATGATTATTTCTAAATCATAGCATGAACCTACGAGAACCAATTTTACTTACTTCCAAACTGAGAGGGAAAGGCACTTTCCAGCATGGTACCTTTCCACCTGCACAAGGTCTCCCCACCGCTCCCGGATTAACATTAGAGTTTGGGAATGTAATACTTCTAACTGAAGTGATAAGCAGAAAGAATCTGATGGGTATCGTTAAGTAAATCTAACACAACAGATTATTCTAATAATCAGTCAAGTACAAGCAAATTTCATTTAACAAAGGCTCTGTTCCTGAAAAACTGGCAATGAAGGAAATTTCTGGAATCTTATTTCTGTGATGACACATCCCAGAAAGTGCTATATGGCATGATTTCAGAAAAAGATTTTATATTTAATTCTGAACCAATATAAACGAGCTGTGAGGTCTAGGTCGCCCCTTAATTTGTCACAATTTAGACATTATGGATTGACCAAATAATACTATATTTTCCCAAATAGTACTATTTTGGGGGGGGGCAGTTTTTGGCCAGGGCTGGGTTTGAACCCACCACCTCCAGCATATGGAGCTGGCGCCCTACTCCTTTGAGCCACAGGTACCGCCCTCAAATAGTACTATTTTTAACTAATCACTTTTTTTTTTGAGACAGAGTCTCAAGCTGTCACCCTGGGTAGAGTGCCATGGTGTCACAGCTCACAGCAACCTGAGACTCTCCAGCTTAAGTGATTCTCTTGCCTCAGCCTCCCAAGTAGCTGGGACCATAGGCACAAGCCGCAACGCCCAGCTATTTTTTTGTTGCAGTTGTCATTATTGTTTTAGCTGGCCCAGGCTGGGTTTGAAGCTGGCAGCCTCTGTGTATGTGGCTAGCACCCTACACACTGAGCTATAGGCACTGTCTAACTAATCACTTTTTATTTTTACCTATAAAGTTGACGGTAAAATTTTAAATTTGGTTTAATACAGACATATCACTATTCTGACTATCAACCGACCAGTTCCCCAGCCCTATTTTTACCAAAAAAGGTTGGGAGAGGGGATTGGGGCTGCTGCAGCTCAAGACTAAGGACAATGAAATACAGGGGTGGGGGAGGGAAGAACAGGAAGACACAAAATCCTTACATATGTATGTCCTAAATTTCAGAAGGATACGTAGGCAGTTGTACATGTCCTGAAGTGGTTTCTCATCAGCAAAAAGCCTAGACTGCACCAGCTGATGGATGAAGTTGATTTGCATACTATGAACCAAAGCTCGCCCATCTTCCATTGGCATGAGAAAAGAAAGTAGTTAATTAGAAGAGTGTAGAGGTCATGTCACAGTACCAACTAAGGAAGCATATATTAACAATGAACTTTTTAAAAAAAGAACTGAAATTATCTATGGAAACTAGAAAACAATATACTCTGAGAACACTGAAACTTCCACGGTCAGCAGGTAGTTATAATTATCATAATATTTATTTCAAATTATAGGATAAACTGCTATACACATTTATTATCCCATAGGAATATTTCAATAATATAAAAATATCAAATACTTAAATCTATACTTATGATTTAAATCAGTATTTATGATTTACCTCCTGTTTCCTTATCCTCAACTAGAATTTCTAGCTTGAGAAGGCGCCATGGAACATCAGGGTCATCTCCCATTACAGTCAAGGTGGCTTCAAATTCTCCTTCAACTCGAAACTTCACCCGGCCATTTGCTTTTAAAAGAAGTAGTAGTAGTAGTGGTGGTTGTGTACTCTGCTAGAAAATAAGCAGCTTTCTGCTGACCTAGAACTCTCAGTCTTGCTTATAAGAAATTTAAAAAGATTAAAGTGTTCAAAGAATTCAGTGGTTCCCAACTAAGTGGTAGCCAGCTTCCAGGCCATCAGGAAACCAAAGGTGGCCAGGCACAGTGGATCATACCTATAATCTTGGCACTGTGGGAGGCCAAGGCAGGTAGATTGCTTGAGCTCAGGAGGGAAACCAACCAGATTAAGAAAAAAAAACCCATCTCAAAAAAAAAAAAAAAAACAAAACAAAACAAAAGAAAGAAAAAGAAAAAAAAAGAAACCAAAGGCAATTCTAACATAAATGAACATTTTCTAAGGCTCAACTCTTGAGACCTTAGAAATTCAGTAAACCACTATGATACATTTTTAAAACACTTTCAAAAAGCAACTAGCAAACAGCCTTATCACATCTGAAATAGATGTTAAGTTTGCACATCTGCTCATTCTTAAAAAAAAAAAAAGAAGAAGAAGAAGAAGAAAGATTCACCCATTTTGATATCTACTCACATTCTGGCCCCAATGTATTTCCCCTCCAGCCCCTGGCAATCTCATCTACTTCTAAGCTTCAAATACCAGCATTGCTTTTCTAGGCACTAAAGAGAAATGATACAGTTGACAAGTCATGGATTTGAGTACCACCAAAAGTATGAGTCAAAACATCATGATAATTTTTTTAATAAAACCCAAAAAGCTGTTAAGAAAATATTCTAGTAAGTCAACTTTTTAAAAAATAAATTTCAGCTACATACCAACTGTAAGATTTGCTAACTGAGGAGGAAGATCTGTGGTTACAAGCCGATGTCTAAGAATCTGATTGAGCTGATGAAGTGTGGCTTGTTTTTCAATTTTCGTAATTGGGTCTGGAGGAATAATTTTATCCTACAAAAAATTTAAGTTAATTTTAAATAATGTATAAAATGAATTTTTTTTGTTTTTATACATTTTCTTACTTTATCCAAGAAAATCTCAACACTCATTTCTTCAATCTACATCCAATAATAGTGACCCTTACTATCATGCTTTAGAGCGCCAATGATTCTATCATTTAGCTAAGAACATAATGATCCTCCTCATGTTCTATGTATGAAACAACTTAATGTTACTAGATGACTTTCATCACTTCTTAAAATACAAAATACAATATAGCACCAATTCAGTAAGCCACTATAATGATAGATTCTTAAAACACTTTCACAAAGCAACTAGCAAACAGCCTTATCACATCTAAAATAGATGTTAAGTTTGCACATCTGCTCTCACTCCTGAAGAAAAAAGAAAGGTGAAGAAAGATTCACCCATTTTGATATCTATTCACGTTCTGGCCCCAATGTATTTCAAAAAACCCACAATTTTACTTACAGAGAAAAAAGCAAACTGTATGAACAAATTTTTATAAAGTATTTTTTTTGCTGGGCTACTTAATAATATACTAGAATCTAATACCTTCAATTTTTTGGAGTACAGGGCCAACTACTTACCCTTATACAGGTTGGCAGCCGTGGGTAAGATCCAGTAGTCAGTACATCAATAGCATATGGGATGGCAAAACTAGGCAGGCGTGCATGGACCAGAGCATCTCTAGCTAATGAGGCCAGGCGATCAGCAGTGTCCACAAACAGGATGGCTTGCTGATCTAAAAAGCTTGAGATCATCTTTAAAACAAAGGGAAAATGTATTAAACTTCCTTGAAAAATATCTGCTTTTCACATTAAATATCATCTATTCATTCCAAAGTAAATTTCAAAGAATTAATATAGGTTTTATATATTTCAAAATAGTTCTTCAGAAACTCTCCCAATAATTTGAAGAAAGGAGAAATATTTCTATTTCTTATAGTGTTCATTTATGTCAGAGAGTTGCCTTTGGGGGTTTTTTTTTTTTTTGAGAAAGAGTCTGGTTCTTGCTCAGGTTAGTCTGAAACTCCTTATATTTTATATAAGTATACTTATATTTGACATTAAAATAATTTTCTGTCACTTTAAGTAAAAACCTTTGTAATACATTTCTTTATAACATTATACATACAACATCAAAAGGTAGGAGAAGTAAAAAGAATAAAATGCTTTTTACTTTTATAGACTTCTAGAGTTGGTTAGTAAAGAAGTAGTTAAAAGCATGGACTCCTGAACTTAGACTGCCTTGGTCTCAATTTTAACTCTACAACTCCTAGCCCCATTACCTTAGGAAAGTAACTTAACCTCTCCTGTGCCTCAGTTTCTTCATTTATAAAATGGAAATCATAATGATTCCTAACCTTATCAAGTTGTTCTCAAGATTAAGAGTTAATGGACATAAACAATGAGACAGAATAGAGAACCCAGAAATAAATCCACACACTTACAGTCAACTCATTTTCAACAAAGGCACCAAGAGCATACATTGGGGAAAGGACAGTCTCTTCAATAGATGGTGCTGGGAAAACTGGACATCCACATGAAGAAGAATGAAATTAGATGCCAACCTTTCACCATATATAAAAATCAACTCAAAATGGATTAAACGGTTAAATGTAAGACCTACATCTATGAAACTACTACAATAAAACATTGGGGAAATGCTATAGGGCATTGGTTTAAGCAAAGTTTTTTTGATAAGACCTCAAAAGCACAGGCAACAAAAGCAAAAATAGACAAATGAGATTACAGCAAGCTAAAAAGCTTCTGCATGGCAAAAGAAATGAACAAAATGAAGAGACCACCTACAGAATGGGAGAAAATATTTGCAAATTATCCACCTGACAAGGGATTAATAACCAGAATATATAAGGAACTCAAACAAATAAAAAGAAAAAAAAAGTTAAAAATGGGTAAAAGACCTGCAAAGACATTTCCCAGAAGAAGACAGACATACGGCCAACAGGTATATGAAAAAACATTCAATATCACTAATCATCAGAGAAATGCAAATCAAAACCACAGTGAGAAGGCAGGGTGCAATGGTTCACACTTGTAATATCAACACTTTAGGAGGCCAAGACTAGGGCATCCCTTGAGGCCAGGAGTTTGATATCACTCTGGACAACAGTGAGATCCCATCTCTACAAAAAATTTGAAAATCAGCTCAGCACAGCAATGCACACCTATAGTCCTAGCTACTGGGGAGGCTGAGGCAGGAAGATCACTTGAGCCTGGAAGTTCCAGGTTGCAGTGAGCTATGATTGTGCCACAGCACTCTAGCCTGGGCCAGAGAGCAGGATCCTGTCTCTAGAAAAGAAAAAAACACAATGAGATATCACCTTCCCCAGTTAAAATGGATATTACCCAAAAGACAAAAAATAACAAATGCTAGTGAGGACGCAGAAGAGGGGGAATGCTCATATACTGTTGATGGGAACATGAATTTATATAACCATTATGGAAAACAGTTATGTAGGTTCCTCAAAAAACTAAAAATAGAACTACATTTAATCAAGCAATCCCACTGCTTGGGTATATATCCAAAAGAAGGGACATTGGTATATCAGTGATATCTGCACACCCATGTTTATTTCAGCACTATTCATAAAAGCCAAGATATGAAATCAACCTAAGTGTTCATCAATAGACAAATGAAGAAAATGTGAATATATACACACAATGGAAAATCAGTCAGCCACAAAAAAATAATTACAGTTAATAATTTATGGTATATTTGAAAATAACTAGAATTATGAAGTTCCCCACACAAAGAAAAATGTTTGAGGTGATGGTTTTCCCAATTACCCTGACTTATTACACATTGTATATATATATCAAAATATCTCATGTATTCCCAAAATATGTACAACTATATCAATTGGAATAAATGAAAAAAAAGAGTTAATGCATATAAAACCTTCAGAACAGTGCCTGGAACAGACAAAACATTAAAAAAGGTTGCCTATTATGAAATATAGGCCAACTTTCATGTCCAATGCAGAAACCCTTTCCATCAGTTTTCTACTCAATGCATTTCATAACAATGTCTGAACTAGCAGATCTCATTAGAGAGCTGAAAACCTACCTCCCGTAAACTTTTATTTTCTAGTTCTATTCTAAAACAGAACTACTTAAAGTCTCTTATATCCTTCAAACAGGTTATTAGGGACAACTTAAACATGGCATCCAGAATTAATACCACATCATGCACATACAATGTTGTACATTTTTTTAGTATTTCCACATTTATTTTATTATCTTTTTTTTTTTTTTTTGAGACAGAGTCTCACTTTGTTGCCCTTGGTAGAGAGCCCTGGTGTTACCACTCACAGCAACCTCAAACTCTTGGGCTTAAGCGATTCTCTTGCCTCGGCCTCCCAAGTAGCTGGGACTACAGGTGCCCACCACAATGCCCAGCTATTTTTAGAGACAGGTCTCACTCTGGCTCAGGCTGGTCTTGAACTCGTGAGCTCAGGCAATCCACCTACCTCAGCCTCCCAGAGTGCTAGAATTACAGGCGTGAGCCACCACCCTCGGCTTATTTTATTACCTGATTTTTGCAACTCTCAGAAATAGACCTAGATAATTACTATCACCTTAGAAATAAGAAAAGTGAAGATTAGGTTAAGATGTTTGCCCAAAGACAAGTCAATAATCAGAGAAGTTGAAACAAAAAAAAGTTTCTTCTAACACTTAAATTAGACCCAATATACAGAATAGTACAGTAGACATGCTACCTCCTATGACTAGTACAATGGATATCTATCAACGCTATCAACACTAACTTCTTATTAGCAGCCATGACACTGCTAACATACTCTCAACTTCTGAACTAGTTTTTAACTCAGATTTAGACCATTTCAAGTCTCCCTTCACTCAGGTCACTATAAAACTGCTTATCAGAATAAATTCAAGATCAAACAGTACCAAAGACTTCCCTCCAGCAAGGCATGGACCAACCCTATCGAGATACCAGTTTATCTAGCCCACATCACTTTACCTTCAACATGAGTAATTAACGAAATACTCTCTGAACACAACACACGAGCTTCAGCTACATTAATAAAGAAAGATAAAACTTTAATTTAGAGTAACTTACTAGTAAATCCATGTAGATCCCTAATGATGTTTTGGGGTTTTTTTTGTTGTTGTTCAAAGCAAGCACAATGATTTTTTTTAAGTTTTCACATACCAGCTGTTAATATGATTAATAATAATCTCCCTTAGAATTTAACACTGAATAGACATTTCTCTAAGGAAGATGTATGAATGGCCAACAAGCACACAAAAAGATGTTCAACATGATGAGTCATCAGTAAAATCCGAATTAAAAACCACAATGAAATATCACTTCACACCTACTAGAATGGCTAGACTCAGAAAATGCTGGCATGGATGTGAAAAGTTAAGAACTTCCATACACTGGTAATGGGGATGTAAAATGGTACAGCCACTTTGAAAAACAGACTGGCAACTCCCTCAAATGATTAAATGTAGAATTACCATATGACCCAGCCACTCCACGCCTAAAAGCTTAAAAACTTGAACATGACTGTTTACAGCAGCCTAAACTGGAAATAACCCAAATGCCTATTAACCAACAAACAGACATAACATAGTATATCCATGTTAATCAGCCATAAAAAGGAATGAAGTACTAATACATGCTACAACATGAACGAACATTGGCAACATTATGCTAAAAAAAAGAAATTGCTAAATTAAAGCCAGTCAAAAAAGAACACAGGTTGGTCATTGTAGCTCATACTTGTAATCCCAGCACTTTGGGAGGCCAAATCAAAAGGATCACTTGAGACCAACAGTTTGAGGCCAGCCTGGGCAACATAGTGAGACCCCCTGAATCTACAAAAAAATTTCAAAATTAGCCAGATGTGGTGGTGTGTGCCTGTAATCCCAGCTACAGGTAGACTAAGACAGGAAGACTGCTTAATCCCAGGAATTTGAGGCTACAGTGAGCTATGACTGAGTCACTACATTTCAACCTGTGTGACAGAGTAAGACTCTGCCTCTAAAAATTAATAATAGTCACAGCCCTATACCCAGGGTGACGGAGTGAGAGTCTATCTCAAAAAAAAAAAAAAAAAAATTTAAAGTTACATAATTTTAAATTGCATCCAAAGTACTGCCATTTGAGGGGGGTACTATTTTGTGTACAAATTGGCCTTTGAGGCTTTTTTTTTAACTAATTTTACTGAATTAAGTACATTGGAAACTCCATAGTTGACCACCTTCCTACGTTAGCCAGCTCAAGTTGACCTAATTTTCATAGACCAGACATGTGTACCTGTCAGTACAGTAGGCCTAGTTCCTTATGTTGACCACCTCGGTATGTTGACCGGTTTGTTACATACAGTCCTTTGGGTGCTCAACTTGCAGAGGTTCTTCTGTAGATGACTGCTTAGGAGCAGGTAGAGGAAATGTAGCCATTGATGTCACCCTATGTCTTCTGGTTTGGGCCTAGACAATATGAATGTCTGGGCAAGTGACCTGCCACAAGGCTACAATATGCTGAAGAGGAGAGAAGAAGGTGGCTTAGAAGGTGGCTATTCCAGTGAGGGAAATGCAGGTAGTTCAGTTCCACTTGTAGAACATCCAGAAAACTCGGAGGCATCTTTCAAGGGCCAGTGCTCTCCATTTGTGTTTGTCCATGACACATTCATAGAGAGCATACCTTACTCAGATTAATATGAAGAAAGTGATGCAAATCTTTAAAACCCTAGAAAGCTAATAATGGAATCAGGAAGATCTTAATATCATATTCATCTTTTTGCATTTTTCTGGTGACTCAATCAAACTCATGAAAGATCAGACTCAGGGAGAACAGTTCTGAGGGAGAGTAAGTTGAAAATAAAAATCATCTCTGTCTAAAATAAATAAACTGAGATCAGAATGAGGAGCTCAGAGATGGCACTGAGAGTGCCATAACATAGCTCAGGGAGCAGATACAGAGACAAAATCTTCCTACCATCCCCTCTCCCTACCCAATCAGCAATAAGATTGAGATAAGAGTTTGACCAGGAGCTCTTACTTTGATTTACACAACTATCACTTGAGGAGGGGCCCTCTAAACTTATTTTCTAATCAAGATTTCTTCTGGAAGCTCTGACAAAGCCTTTTTCCATTTTCTGTTAGTAAAACTGCCTAAATTTTGAGTGAGTCAAACGATACTGGAAAATATAAATCTGGTAAAGATGCCAAATTAATTCTATGCATTCAAGATCTAATATTAGTAGGCAAAACATGTCGTTACAGAATACCAGGTCAATATTTTTAGGAATTTAAGTAAAAACAGGAAGAAATACATTCTCATTTTATGATTAATAAACTCAGAATATGAACTGCTTGCAAATTGAGATCAGTACTCTTATCCCATATTTGACTTCTTATATTTTGCTTTGCCAAAAGTCTAGGTGAGAAAAAGGTCTGAAAAGTGTAAATAAAGAAACTTATTTTAAATAAACTGAATTACTTGCTAAAGGCTGAGAATGAATTTTAGAATTTAAAGTTCATTGTATCTGTCTTCCAATCTAGCTAAAAAAATAAAAATAAAAATAAAAAAAGAACACATAAGATTCCATTTACATGGAATATTCAGAATGGGCAAATCTACAGAAACAGAAAGCAGATTAGTGGCTGTTTAAAGCTAGAGGAGAGCTACGGGGTGATAGCTAAATAAGTTTTCTTTTTTTTTAGAGACAGAGTCTCACTTTATCACCCTCGGTAGAGTGCTGTGGCATCACTGCTCACAGCAACCTCCAGCTCTTGGGCTTAGGTGATTCTCTTGCCTCAGCCTCC